CTCTCTCTCTCTCTCTCTCTCTCTCTCGTGACAATATTTTACATGATAATTTCATTTGTAATTAAGTAATTATAATATACCAAAAATAATCCCTTGATATAACTATAAACTTATATGAATAAAAGTTGCTAACAAATAAGTTCTGATAAATAACGTATTGCAATTACATTCAATCTTAATGATTGATTATATAATTATTATGGGCAACAAATTGTTGCCAACAATGTGGAGTATTAAAATTATTTTTAATATTACAATATGGTTAATAAGTTAAATTAATAATAATAACTGTAGATATAAATGCTAGTACATTTCCTGAGCTTGTTTATGTTTTTAAAAAATTGTTTTCATTAATACAAATTCCAATATTGTTAGTAAAAAATGAATTAACAAATGCAATTAAAATAATGTTTTTATAATATCAATTTATTATAAATGGCTATAAATAAAAATTGTTTTGAATTATTTACTGATTAACAATCAATGATTAGTGTATTATAAATATTAAATATTTAAATTTTAAATGAAGGGTTGTGTGCAAAATATCAGTCAACGCACGTATATTTAGCGCAGTTTTATATTTAATACAAATATTTGAGGAAATATTGGGAGATATATAGATGACAGGGAAAGGGTTGTTATCATTGCTATGTCAGTACAAATATCAGTCAATTAGTATTTGATCATAGATTAATTGACTTAGTATTTTGTATATTAAAAGTAATCGTAATTTTAAATTATAATTAGTTTTTTCAATAGTTATTGATGACAGCTGTTAATAACTAATTAATATATTAATTGCTGCGTAAAAGTCTATTACAATTACCGAGAAAAATGTGTAATATATTGTTATTTTATTAAAACTAATCAACTAGTAGTTATACTAACTATATTTATACATAACAATTTAATTTTTAATATATGATTAACAAACATCCAATTTTAAAATTGATTAAAATTTGCATTGATCAAAACTATTAGACCAAGCAAACCAACAAGGTGCTTTGGTGGCAGACAAGCGATATTTCGGTGTATTTCGATGCAATAAATGCTCGGGCAAATGGGAGTCTGCCTCGTGTTGGCTCGGATTCAAACAACAGTGTAATTGTTGTGGCCAGTGGTCAGAACCATCACACATGGTAAGTGCCCATCACACACACACACTGCCTCATTCCTAGTCTTCCGCCATTTATTTTTACCTTCATATTTAATTATAGTTAACTATAAATAATACACTGTATTTAATTAAATAATATTTAATGAATGTATATTTGTAGCGTCCATTGAGAGCATCGGAATATACGGTAATAGGTAAACATGGTATACATGTGGTGGACAAATGCCAAAAGTGTCAGTCGTTGGGTCGCGACTGTAGTCGCAATGATTAGGCGTATTGGCGGTAATATTGGCTAATAAATAGGCTTTCAATTATAATCTACATTATAATTATTTTGCTATAATTTTTTTAAATTCTTACACTTTTTAAAATATCTTTTATTACTTTTAATTGTTCGGAATTTATAATTGTATTTAAATTTTAAAATTAAATAAATATTGCTTAACTTTCAAGGCATATAAACAATAAGCATATATTCAATAAATGATAGCATTGCCTGTATTAAAGCTTTAGTACAGGCAATGCTATCATTTATTGAATATATGCTTATTGTTTATATGCCTTGAAAGTAACATATTGTTTTTAATCAATAAAATAAGAGGACTTATAAACCAATAATATTATTTAAACTGAATTATAGTTAATAATATTTTTCAAATGCTTTAGGAGTTCAGAAATTAATAAGTATATAAATATTAGCATTAAAATAATTTCATTTAATTATTACAATTAATTGCCAAAACAATTTTAATCACATAATTAAATATTAAAGATATAATAGAAATTTATTTTACTTAAAACAAAAGCATTAAGAAAAAATTAAAATAAAACTTAAAATACGATAATTATTATTACCAATCAACTCTAAATTAAGCAAGTTAAATGAAACTATGTAAAGTTAATAGTGCCATAGAAAATGAATTTTTAAAAATCAATTTCTCATGGTGAGTATAAATGATAATCATTAGGGATAATATTAAAATATATATCAAGAATAATCTCATTTACAGAATATTCTGTTAAAATTGTAAGTTATTTATTTGCGATGACTGGTGAGCCCTCTGGTGGAGCCTCCAGTGTAACCATAAGGACGTCCAGTACCACCTGTGCCGCCAGTGTAACCATGATAACTTGAGTAATATTGTGGTGGTTGTGTTGATCCGTAAGAGTGTCGTTTAGTACGGCCACTACGAGTGGGGCCATAAGTAGCCCCATAGCCCGTTGAACCCGTGCCGGTCCGGTATCTCGATGTAGACCCGCGGCCAGTAGTATACCGTCGGGTGCCGCCCGTGCCGTACGATTCTGTAGTGTACGCGCAGACCATCGATACGCTAAGTATAAGCGCAAACGCCAAGAATGCTAAATATATTGACAATTATATTGATGAATACTTAATAATTATATTGAAAAGTTTTATTTTATTGCTAGTTTATAATTAATTTATATTTATAAATTATAATTATTAGTGAGTATTACTCAAAATATAAATTAATGTAAAGTATAGCCAACATAACAATACATTTTCTATGGGAGTCATAAGTTTTTAATCATAAATTAATATTAACGAATTGGTAATTATAAAATTAATGTTTGTCATAGATTACCTCTCATTTTCCTTGTTGGTGTATTTAAAAATAAAAAATTATAACAATATTTTGTATTTAAAATTAAATTTTTAAGTTAAAACTTTTATATTAAATAATATAAGTGGAATATTATAACGTAATAATATAACGTTCAATATATTGCTTATTTCTTTACACTAGGTTGTATATTTCGTAAATTGAATGCAATACAAATGGTATATGGAATAAAATTATTATTTAATTAATTTATATAATTATAATATTCTATTATTTATAATATTTCATTTGTTATATTTATTACCATTATGTTTGTAAAAAATCAATATGTGGTACAATCACAACACATATCTCAGATATGATATCTGTATAAGAAAGACATAACTGTTTTAATAATAAAATTATAATACGAGAGAGAGAGAGAAAGAAAGAAAGAAAGAGAGAGAGAGAGAGA